CACTGCTTCTGTTGACACTGCTTCTGTTGACACTGCTGGTGTTGACACTGCTGGTGTTGACACTGCTGGTGCTGACACTGCCGGTGTTGACACTGCCGGTGTTGACACTGCCGGTGAATGTGAGATGGTCAAGGGACGCGGGTGAGATTCCGTTGCAGGATTTGAAGCTCGTCGATCCCAATTGATTGGTAGGTATCCGAAAAAGTCAGAGCCTTCATCCACAGTTTCTCTTATGTCTCGTCGCCCAGTATAGGAAAATCCAATGTGCTGACAAAACGAGCTTCTCCTCCATGGAACTGCTCCCCCGACTCCGCGGATGAAGCAAGCTAAGAAGCAGGCGTCGGACATGTGGAGAGCTTTAACGGGCATGAGGGCTCTGGCAAGGCAGGTTACGGTCCTGAAGCGTTCAGGGCCCCAAAGTTTGAATAGACACGTTGTGAGTTCGATAGAGTCACTGTCGACGGCAGTCCAGTAATAATTGTTCTTATTCATGACCCTTGCCATGATCGGCTCGAAGCCACACCGGCGTAGATTGGTCTCGAGCAGCCAGGAGACAACCTGAGATATTGACCAGATGATAAGTTTCTCAGACCCGGTTGTCTCCGGTAGTCGAGTGAAATGTCGCGCCATTATGATGTCGTAAATATTGAACGGCTTCCGGCAATTAACGTCGAACTCGCTAATTTTTATACGAAGACGTTTGGCAAGTACTACCAGGGACTTGAGGGGTACGAACCTCTGCAGAAGCTTCGCCAAGAACCACTGGTCGGTAGTTCCTTTGGGACGACCGACAATTGTCTCGCACCTCTTGAGTAGCTGCAGCATACTACTACGATCCAAATTGTCATATAGCTCGCCTGCCACCCTGGCCCTATCCCATGAGCAGTAGTGCTGGTCTTTGCCCGTGTCTGCACCGATTTTGCGATCCGTCAACAGCTTATGGTCAAGGTAACCCATAATTGTCGGAGTGGGAGCTTTTTTAGCTGAGCATACGCCGGAGCCCTCGCACAAATCCTGTACTACGTGGCTAACAAATTTTCGAGCTTCTTCGATACTGTCATCAAAGTCTCCCGCAGCATGTAGAATGCGGTGGCCGCCAGTGTTCCGATCGTCATTCACTCCGTCCCAATCACTTTCCAACGTACCTTTATTAGCCAACCGACTGTGGGAAGACAGGCCCGGGAGCTTGCGTTGGCGTGGTGGTTCTTGGTCATCTACGAAGCCACTTGCCAGATGCAGCCGACTAGCACCTTGGATGCCACTTTGGGCCCGGCATGGGACGTCTTGTAATTCGTTAGCAACGCCACTCAGCAAAATCACAGCGACTGAGACTGATGCCAGATGTTGCCTGCTTGTGCTCGTTTTCATGGAGCGAGTAGAAAATCAATTTAAAAAAAAACCAACATTAGGATAATTTTTATACGCACAGGACTTGGACCAACAGTGGACTGACCATTATGTCCCGCAAGAAGTATACCGCAAACGGAGCTAAAATGCGTGTTCCAACAGTGTAAGGATTCTGCTCCGATCCATTATGTCACACAGGTCTCAGAACCAGGTTTGGGAAGCCACCTGCGACCAAAGAGCTTGTTCCGCTAGAGAAGGGTTGTCCTGTAGCACGTTTTTCCGTATGGCTCTAAGAAAACAGAACTGCCAAGAACATCAGAGCCTTCCACTGTAAACCCGCGGTCCCCGTCCTGATCGACCCTCATCGAGCAGGGGGCAGGGGCTCCTACTGGGGAGTTACGAGAATTGATTATTCGTGTCACTAGGGTTAAGTTAGCCTCGTTCCTGGTGACGGTCGTTTCCGCTTACGGTCGCTTTCGCGTGGACCCGGGGGCGTCCGGAAACTTTCCTCTCTTCCCCCCCCAACTTTCCTCGTTCTCGACTCCGGTCCGTTTTCGCAGATCCAAAGCCTCATATGAGGCGCAAAGCCGCGCGTGGAGTGCCGCTGCATGCTGCATGGCTGAGCGAGACGCATCTTCGTGCGAAATTGGCGACAGCACGACCATCGCGGGATGGTTGACCATCGCGGCATGGTTGACCATCGCGGGATGGTTGACCATCGCGGCATGGTTGACCATCGCGGGATGGTTGACCATCGCGGAATGGTTGACCATCGCAGGCGTCCTCGGATGTGTCACCAGAGCTACTGGCGTCGGAATTACCGGATCGGCAGTTACCGGATCAGCAGGATCGGCAGTGAGCGGATCGGCAGCTACCGGAAGTAGCCCGATCTTGGAATCGGAACCATGGGTGTGTGGAGCTGTCTCGAAATGGGCCACGGACTGCGAGAGGACACGGGGATGTGACTCCACATTGAAGTCCTCGGTCGTAATGGTTTCCCAATTGGGTGGCAAGCGCCCAAAGAACTCGGGGCCTTCGTCTTTGCATGGCTTCGGCATCTCCAACTCGTCTCTGGTGTAGGAAAAGCCAGTGGTGGAACAGAGTGTGTGGAATACACGTATACACGTAGAGGACATTCCGCGCAAGAAGCAGCCCAAGAAACATGCATCTGAGATTTCCGCGGCAGTTACGGGAAGCAGTGTCCTGGCAAATTTGGCTACACTCCTAAAGCGTTCGGGACCCCAGAGCCTGAATAGAAATGCTGTAAGTTCAATAATTCCAGTATTGATACCAAACCAGTAATGGGTGTCTCTGCCTGCGATGAGCTTAAAATAGGGTTCGCGCAGTCTTGTCTTAAGTAGCCAAGACATAACCTGACAAACCGACCAGATTATCAGTTTGTTATTTTCGTTCGTTTCCGGCAGTCCACAGAAGTGACGTTCCATCACGATATCGGGCATGTTAAGCATGCGTTTTGGACGTTGTTTAACTCGTGGACGTTGGACTTGGTTGATTCCAATACGAAGGGAAAGTCTCGTTACAGCCTCACCTGTGACGAAACTCTGTATGAGTTTTGCCAGATACCACTGATCGCTCATTCCAGCCGGTCGACGAACTACAGTCGCACATCTTTCGAGCAGCGCCACCAGTCTGCCACGATCCAGTCGGTCATACAGCTCTCCCGCAAGTCTAGCCCTCCGCCATCCACACGCTCCTGTATCGGCAGCCAAACACGTCGTAATCCTCTTCGGGTTTAAGGTCTTTTGTTCGAGGTTACGCAAAACTTTCTCATGTACTCCTGCGTTACCTACGGGCTTCATTGCTAGCGACGACTCACCAATTTTGTTCCTGAACTCATGTATCATATCAGCAACAAATTTTTGAACTTCTTCCACATGGGCATCCACAGGTTGTCCAACACGAACTTTTGATGGAACGTCATGGAACGACGGAGTGACATTTGATGACGGTCCCACCTGGTTGACTGTAGTAGACGCATTTAGCGGTCCGTTGGTCTGTAGTTTGATTTGGGGTAGTCGCCTAAAGATCTCTGGTCCTTGGTCGGCAATAATCCACAACTTATTTTCACCTTGGAAGGAAAATCCAATATCCGCACAAAAGGTTCGAATGGGTTTCTGATCTAGGCAACCTACGGCCCGCAAGAAACATGCGAGAAAGCACGCATCTGACATCTGAGCATTAACTGGTAGTAACTTTCTGACCGTTCGAGTCATTATCCTGAACCGCTCGGGTCCCCATAGAGTATAAAGAAATGATGTCATCTCAATGGCCAAATCGTCGACAGAGGTCCAGTGACCGTCAACCATCAAAACCTTCTGGAAGTTACCTTTCTCTTCCTTCGTTGCGAATAGCCAGTGCGCAATTCGTAGCATTGAGTATACTACCTGTCGCTCCGACTCGGTCGTCGCCGGAAATCGAACGAAATGACGTCCCATGGTCCAGTCGTGAATGATCAAGGTACTCTCACAGCCTTCTTCAGACGTAGCGCCCAATAGACCACTCAATTTGTGCATGGTATGGGTAGTCAGAAACCCTTGCAGAAATTTCGCCAAGAACCACTGATCCGTTATATCCGGGGGGCGACTAACTTTGGCTGCGCACCTCTCAAGCAGGGCAAGCACTCTTCTGCGATCCAGATTATCATACAACACTCCTGCCAGCCATATCCAACGCCATTTACACCAACCACCCGCCGCTCCTTTAGGAGTATGATCGGCCAACACACGTTCAATATAATCCATAATCCAATCCAAGTCATTCGCCTGAATTTTCGGTGCTTTTCGAGGTAATCGTGAACTTAAATAATCTTGTACCAGATCACCAACAATATCTTGAGCTTCCCTTATAGAAAAATGACCCCCTACGACAACACCGTCATCTACGTTGGAAAATCCTCCTTGTGTCGAAACTCCACGGAACTGCTCATTGGTCTGATTCGAATCTGCACCTCTGACTTCACTATTGAAACCACCCAACACGACAACACAACAACGAAATACTGAATACCTGTGATCGCTTTGGTGCACTCTCATTAGCCTGTATAATTTATTTTATTTATTTCGTGTACAAGGTGTTCGATTATATATCCACGGTGTTCGTTCGGTCCAGAGTGCGTTCGGTCCAGGGGGATCGCTGCTCACGGTCATCACTTTATGGGGGATGTCGGCTCGGCTAGTGCAAAATACCTTTGCGTCTTGATGAATTGGTTCGGGGCAGCCGGAAGGAAACGAACCACACGGGTGGAAAAAAGCGTAGAGACAACGAGCACGGGACCCCGCTAAGGCGTCCTGTTTTCTCACGGAGTTCGTTTAGCTTCAGGATGCTCGTCGTCCTCCACTCTGCTCCGCTTCCGTGGATCCAAACTCACCCAGGAGTCATTGATACCGCATGCCACTACTTCGGGTGATGCCCGTTCATGGAATGCTGCCGGGTGCCGCGACAGAGCCGATCCCGACAGAGCCGATCCCGACAGAGCCGATCCCGACAGAGCCGATCCCGACAGAGCCAAATCTTCGTGTAAAATCATTGACAGTGCCAGAGCAGAATGAGTAGCAGCCGTCAGCTCTGCCACCGGAGTAGTCTCTGGCGTCTCCGCTCCGTTTCGTGGTGCGACCGCGGGGTGTACAGTCTCCACGGTGGGCGCGGTTACAGAGTGTGCGGCCACAGTCTGGGACTCTGGGGTGTGTTTGGGGCATGCGGTGTGTACGGGTATGCGTCCGAAGAAGTCGGCGCCCTCGAGGGTGACGGGCCAGGCACCGTCAGTGTGGTTGCGAGGGAAGCCGATGTGTGAGCAGAAGGTGCGAGAGACGCAGGGGGCGACAAGGTTGACGGCGCCAAGAAAGCAGGCGAGGAAGCAGGCATCAGACATTTTCTTTTTGACAGAGGAGAGAACTTTGCGAGCGACTTGGGCCAGTTGGTGGAAACGTGTGGGGCCGAGGAGCTTGTGGAGGAAAGCGCAGAGGTCGATGGCGAAGGAATCGACGCACGCCCAGCGTCGACCTCGGTTACGGAGGATACGGCCATAGTTTGCGTGGTAAGCCCGGGTTTTCAAGAGCCAGCTCACCACCTCCGCCACAGCCCAGATAACCATACGATCCGCATCGCTCGTGGGCGGTAAGCCGACGAAGTGACGCTCCATAACGATGTCTTGCAACATAAATACACTCGTTGCACCTTCCTCAAGTTTCAAGCCTAAATTTTTGGCCAATCGCAACGCCGACTGATGGCCTAACTTTTGCTGCAACAACTTCGCCAGGTACCACACGTCACTGACACCGGCCGGCCTGCCCAACTTCGTCTCGCAACTAGCCAACGATGCCGCCATCTGTCCTCTGTCCGTCCGACGGTATACCTCGCCCGCAAGCACACCCCACCGCCACGCAGAGAATCGTGCCGGCACCCGCCGCACCGGCCTCATCCGAGCCTCTAACGAACGCATCGTCACTGACGATACTAGATTGGGCGTCGACGACGCCGCACACGTGTTCGCACACGGCCGACTGAAACTCGCTATCGTCTCCGACACAAACGCCTGCGCCTCCTCCACCGCAGGGTCACTCGACGCTCCCAACGCCTGCCACTCACTATCTGCCATCATCACGGGCGCCTCACCACCTGCCCCTGTCACGGACGCTACCCGCGACGGCTCGTCGCTCCTTGAGCCCCCCGTGGTTTCAGCCACAGCCTTCTGAGCCACAGGCTTCTGAGCCACAGCCTTCTGAGCCACAGCCTTCTGCGCCACGGCCTTCTGAGCCACAGCCTTCTGAGCCACAGCCTTCTGAGCCACAGCCTTCTGAGCCACGGCCTTCTGAGCCACGGCCGTCTGGACCACGGCCTTCTGGACCACAGCCGTCTGGGTCACGGCCTCCTGAACCAGAGCCACGGCGTTCTTCTTTCGAGCCGCGGCGTTCTCCTCAGAAGCCACGGGTCTCGCTCTGGGTCGCCC